AAACGTTCGGATGTCCGCGCGGAGTTCTTCGATCGGCGCTGGGCCCCCCTTCGCGCGCCAGGGGCGGCGCCGGAGGCGCCGCTGGGGCGCCCGGCGCCGATCCCAGAAATCCGCGCTGACATCGGGGAAGTTTCCGTTTATGTCGTTTGTCTTCGTCGAGTTATCGCGTCGGCGCATCCAGGGGCCCGCGGGGCGGCGAAGCGGGCTTCCGGAGGCCCGGGGCAGGCTTCCCGGGGGGGCGCGGGGGGCGAGGGCGACGGCGATGGCGACGGCGACGGCGAAGACGACGGCGACGCCCCTCCCTCCCTTTTTTCTTCTCGCCCATGTGCCTCCGCTTCATCGGGGCGCCCCGGGGCCCGAAGCGGGCCTCCATGGGCCCGCGGGGCGGCGAAGCGGGCTTCCAGCCCGAGACGGGCTTCCCGGGGGGGGGGTCGAGGGCGGGGGCGACGGCGACGGCGAAGACGACGGCGGCGCGTCTCTTTTTTCTTCGGAGCGGCGAAGCGGGCTTCCAGGGGCCCGGGGCGGGCTTCCTGCTGGGGGGGGGGCGACGGCGACGGCGGCGGCGAAGACGACGCCCCCCTTCATTTTTTTTTGGCTGTTCGTCCATGCGCCCCCGTTTCATCGGGGCGCCCCGGGGCCCGAAGCGGGCCTCCAGGGGCCCGCGGAGCGGCGAGGCGGGCTTCCAAGGGCCCGAGACGGGCTTCCCCGGGGGGGGTCGGGCGAAGGCGACGGCGACGGCGACGGCGATGCGCAGCGTATGCGAAACATATGCGAAATATATGCGAAACACTACGAAACATACACGAACCTTATACGAAACACATGCGAACCATGTACAACCTATACGACACAGATGCGAAACACCTAAGAGACATACGACACTCCTACAAAACTTATGCGATACATATACGAAACATATACTACACATATACGAAACATGTACGAAACAGCTACAAACCGTATACGAGGCATATGCACCATGTTTACGAACCGTATACGAATCGCATCTGGAACGTATCCGACACGCATGCGAAACGCATGCGAAACCTATGCGAAGCGTA